CCGGCCCCGCGGTGGGAAGCGGCCCCGGCCCGGGGGCCGCTGCCCGGGGGAGGCAGCGCCTCGCTCCTCAGCAGGTACGGGCTGCGCCGGCCGCTCTGCGCGAGGAGCTTAAACCTGGGTTGATGTCAAGCTCCGTGGCTGAGGAGCTGACTGGGGGCACAGGCTGTGCAGGAAGCCTCGCTGTGAGCGCCGGCACCGTCTGTCTTTGCTGGTGATTAACGCTGTGGAAGTGACTTCTGAACGCCAGTGGTTCAGTGTTTGCATGTGAGCGCTGAACCTCTTTCCTTAGGTGGAAAAGCTGTTGTGTGTGGAGTGACTTGGGTATTAATGTAGCCCACCGCTGCAGTTACAGTGTTCCGAGGTGCACGCTGATTAAGTGGTGTGTGGTAATCGCAGCATCACAGCCTGGTTTGGGTTGGAAGGGACCTTAACTATCACCTGGTTCCAAGTCCCATGGGCAGGGACACCAGGTTGCTCCAAGCCCCATCCAACCTGACCTTGAACACTTCCAGGGATGAATGCTTGTTAACCTTAAAACGAGTCACAGCCACTTCTGATTTCTCTTTATGTGAAAAAAAAAAAAAAGGCAGTGATTACTTTTAGAAAAATACATTTAATTCCTCTTCTACTTTTTTTCCCCTGTTTTGGGGGTGTTTTTTTAGTGTCACCTCTCTACTTCCAAGTATACTTCAACAGCCAGTGAGGACTGTCACTTACTACAGCTTGAGGAAAGGAAAGAGGAAAACTGTGAAAGCTGTCATCGAGAGGTTCCTCCGGCTGCACAACGGCCTCTGGGTTAGGAGAAAGGTAAGATTTGAATAGTACTTCTTTTTTTTTCTTTTAGTAAAAGCGTTTTTACAGTCAGCGAGCTAGTTGCTGTCCTTCCGTTAGAGGGCAGCAGCTAGTATAGGAAGTTGAAATCCTATAGAGAGACTTCTGGCTTCGTGCAAGGGGGGAACTTGTCCCGGATTGCTCACCAGTCTTGCTCTGTGTGTGTCTTTGCAGCCACCCACTGAAAAGTCTCGTGTGTTTTCTCCTGGCAGGCTGGCTACAAGAAGAAACTGTGGAAGAAGTCAATTGCCCAGAAGAAGCGTTTGAGGGAGCTGATGTTGTGCAACAGGACACAGTGTAAACTCCTGGATAAAATGACCACTTCCTTCTGGAAGAGAAGGAACTGGTACGTTGATGATCCCTACCAGAAGTACCATGATCGCACCAACCTTCGTGTCTAGAAAGCTGCTGTTTCAGTTGGGCCATCTCTAGGAAAGGTGGTGGCACATCACTCTGCAACACCTTTTCCTTTTCTAAATAAACATGCAGATCATTTGATCAGGATGATGGGTGTCAGTGTCCCAAATAAAGGAATATTCAAGATGCAGTTTGTGTTTGGCTTAGCAGAGGTCAAGCTGCATGTTCTGACATCTGTTGGTTTCCTGTGATTGTCTGTAACATACATGAATGAATACAATCTAAACATCATTAAAAGTGAACAATTTCGTGTGTTTAATCTTATTTTTTTTTTAAATAACCTCAGGATGTATTTTGCTGGGTCCACATGTATTGGTAGCTCACTGAATGCAGTGTCCTTGGGAAAGGGGAGAAAGCAGGACAGGTTCTGTTTCAGTTTTTGTTGCCTGTCATGACCCCAAATAAAGCATTGCTGTGTCTCCATGCTAGAGGGGACAGAAACAAAAAATGTCATGTCTACAGGGAGTTTTTATAACTCATTTAAAAATCTATTAACTGCTAACTGCCATGGCAAGGCTCACATTTTGTACACTGTGTGTTTGGTTTTTTTAGTGGAATGTATGATTTGGGTCCTACACTACATTCTGAAGCAGTCCATTCTATACTTTCTTGTTTTTATCCTTTCTTTAAGCCTAATTATGCCTCATCCTGCTTATCTCTGACCACACATCTATGGAACAAAACCAAGGGTTTGTCACCAGGTCCTTTTGGAGTGTACAGTGCATCTGGGCTCTGGTTTCACTAAGGGCTAGGTTGGAGGTTTTCTCTACCAAGCTGATTGATTCTTCAGGAGGTGTATGAAAAGCAGTTGCTTTAGCAAAAGCTTCAAAATCTTTGCTCATAATTAACCTGTTATTAAGTAGATGGTCCCCAGTTATCAGCTCCAGAGCCACCTGGATAGCAAGAGAAGGTTTGCTGTGCAAGCCTGTAGCACTTCAATGAATTCACTCATTTACTCAGTGTTCAGTAGCTGTATTATTTTTTTTCCAGTTCATAATACAGAAAGAAGTTCTGAAGGACATGCAGCACTTAGTGAATACATCTATATACAGTCAGCCAGAATTGAGATTAAAAATAATACAGCGATCAAAAGTAATTATTCTGGCCTGCCAAATACATTGAACAGACTAAAGATGTTTTCTTCTTTTTTTTTTTCCATGATTTTTTTTAAATAAAAGATTAAGACTTTATTCAAGATGTGTATCAAGCAGTGTAACAAAACCAGCAAAACATCAACCTTTGGAATACTGTTGTAACAGCCATTGTCGTGAGGCATCTACCATTCAATCACAGATCCTTTCTACCCATCACAGGAAAGAAATCACATGAAGTGCACAATTATGACCCTTAAATAGTCCATCGAAATGCAAATCCCAGTGTAGTGTTCTCTGTTATTTCAGATACTGTGCTAGATGCAAAACGAGTACCCAGAACAAAAGGCAGGAAGAGACTGTGATTAACATTGGGTCACAATGTGATAAGCATTGGGTCACAAGTAGGAGGCTCCATCACTAGGTGAGAACACTTCAGAGAGCAGTCAGGACAGCAGGTTGTTTACACGAGGATAGGGAGCATCTCTCCAAGCAGATTTCTCCCTCTCATTAGGGATAAATAACCTGATTGGCCTTTCCTTCTGTGCTGGGTTTGCACTTACACTGTTCAGGTTAGGGTGGGGTTAATTCCAAGGTGACAGTGGTACACACGAGGCCTGTCTTGTCTACATTGAATGTGATCCTGATTCAGCACTCAGGGGCTGTGGCTGCACTGACACTGGCCCCTACAACAGGAGAGGAGGTGTGGAGGGCTGCACTGAGCTGCTCCAGCTTGTTCTCATAACTGTGGTGATTTTATGGTAAATAAGATAATTCACAGGCTTCCATGGTTTTCCATGGACCATCTTCAGCTGCAGTCTCCTTCCCCTCAGCCTCAATTTTACTTAAAATAATGCAAGTTTCACCTAAGCCTGTATTGTTCAGGGCTGGCCTGTTTCCTTCAGGGTGACACTCTCCAGGCTCTCTCTGAGAAGCCAGGAGGTGTCTACCTACCCTACAACACTGACCCTAGAGCCCAGCTGCCTGAAGGGTCCCAAAACCACGTTCCTCTTGAGCCCGATCTGTTGCTATTTTAAACCAGCAGCTGCAAGACTGCTTTGGGAGGAGTCATCGCGCCGTCACGGCCTGAGCTGGGATGGGAGGAAGCTGAAAACTACTCCCCAAGAGGCCACGATCTTCCCCTTGCTCAAATCCTGCAAACTCCCGCTTGCCAGGAGGGGTCAGGGTGAGCCCAGGGAGGCGACTCGCTGATCAGGGCTTGTTCCTTGAGAGAAAAACTAGGAACAAAAGGCTTCACTTCTGGTGGTTATTCCCAATGAACATAAGTAGCCAGAGTGAAATTACGGCCTTGGGGCAAAACCTGTAAACAACCTGTGGGTGGAAATGAGGAATCAAAAGCAAATGGCCGTTCTCTTCTGTACACAGAACACTAGAGCACTAAGTGTACGTGGTTAGGCATTCACATTTCTTGTCTATCTATACACAAATATACAGCTCAGTTGATAAATTAATACATTTCTGCCAGAGATATGAAAAGGTTTATTTTTTTTTTCTTCTCGTTTATACAGTGAATGTTTTGATAGAGATATAAGGCAACTCCCTTGTCAACAATTTCACCTCAGCACGTCAGAAATGCTAAACAGTCAAGTTTACAGTAAAACAGCAGATCAGATGCACATTTAATCATTTTGGTGAGAATCAATGTTAATACAGTGTGTCTGAGAAGAGAATCTGTCAGATGTTACGTAGCTCTATGTTGTTGGGGTTTTTTGGCGTAATTGAGTGCAAACTTGTCAGCTTCTTTTTATCTTAGGGCAGCCCATTGCATAGCAGGGAAACAGGTCGCTGGAAACAGGATTTTGTTTTCTGCTAACACTGCAGGCAGTTTCTCTATTTCTTTAAAATGTTTGCCAAAAGAAATCAAATACACTCTAAAGCTGCTTAAAAATAAAACACACAAGCTTAGCTTCTCAGAGCTTTTGCTGAGTGTCTTCCAAGGACTGGCTCTTCTGCAACTCCTATTTGAACAGGTTTATTGGGTTTTTTTCCAATTTACTGTCTGAAGACTTTTTCTTTCTTGCCCATTGCAAAATATGATTGGATTAGCACGTGTAAAGGAAATAAAATTCTCAGGTAATGAGGCCAAATATTGTGGCAGACACAGGAAATACCTGCTTGCCTTTTCCACTTCCTAGCCGGGTCAGACAAAGGTTTGCGCATGTGCATAATGAATTTCTCTCTTCCCCACGTATGTAGGAAGCTCTGGAGGAAACCTCAGGGATCCATCAGCCAGGGACAGCTGGGATATCGATGCATATCCGGCAGGGAAAAGGTTTCAAAGGCCACTTCAGATTTATCTCTGAGCCTGACACACTCCCGCCGGCTGCTGGCATCCTGGGCTAGATGAACAGTACTGCTCACCACCAAGCTCCTGTACTGATCCATTAGTGATGGCACATCCTACCTAATGCTAAATGTTTCTCTAGTCTATGTGACAGGTCCAAGGGCAAATACAAAGGGCCACGTAATTAACTGATGTGTGAATCTCACATGCTCAACACTTACAAGAGACACCAACTCGAAGCACGAATACACAAACCCTACCACGTCTTCCTCTTCTTTTATATTTCTCATTTATATATGGATACAAATACATCACTCCATCTGGTTCTTGGGGTTCTAACCAAACTCCATGCTACAGGCAAAACTCCAGGCTCCAAAAAGCAGCTCAGACCCAGCGCCCTGCTCTGCTCATTCAAGTAAACCAGCAGCACCTCACTGAGAGAGCAGGGCACAGGGACTGACACCTGCAGGCAGGGGAGGGAGGCGCGGTTTCCCCTGGAAGAGCGTCCCTAAAGCGATTCTAATTTCGGTCGCTGCACCTACTACAAGCCTGGCTTGCTCACACTTTAACAACCAGCAGCAGGACGTTTGCCACAGCGATGCCATCTAGTTCTTCTGCCAGCCGTGGCTTTCCATGCAATACTCTGCTTGCTCAGGCTGATCAAAATTAAGACTCCCCCTTCGTTATATGATTAAAACCATCTGTTTTTTTTCTCTTGCATGTCTCCTCCTCATCCTCTGTAAGTGGTTTTGCCTCTATGTTTTTTTAGCACAACGATTTCTCAGAATACATGTGACTTGCAGAAACAGAGTTGTAGCTCAGCTTTCACGAATGAATCCTGGACATTTTGTACAAAGTACTTTGACATTTGTTACATCATTCACAGTCTTGAGGAGGAAAGGAGAGAAGAGAAATCCGTGGCTTCTGCAAATCCACTTCATTAATGATAAAGTCATAAATAAATACACTGTCAATGTATCATCATGAGCAACTGATTATTTTTTGTTTCTGCTGTGCATTCACAGAGCTATGCAGACACAAATAAGAATTGTAAAGGTACAGCTTTATGGGATTAGCATGAGTGGGTGCACACTCTGCAAACCAAACAAGGACTCTAAACTTGCAGGTGTCTGCCAGACTGTCCTACCCACATCACGGACAAAGGCCAGAGGGGTGTAACAGGAGAATACAGAGAGAGGAGACAGAAAGGCCATGTCTACCATGCTGTACATCAAAGCACATCCATCCCGCTGCTGTTTCCTACATTAGTAACAAGTAGCTCTTTAAGGCAGAAGAGAGACATTCTGTGGATCTTGGTGCTATTGGCTCATTGCACTCACATTGTTTCAGTGGCAGAGGACGAGGTACTTTTCTTCCTGAAGCGAGGTCTAAGGGTCCTAGGCGGTGCCTGCAGAAAACCAAGAGAAAACTTCAGTGGCATAACAGGAAACATTCTTTCTTTCCTTAAAACTCACCCGTCTTTGTGGTGCCTCCTTGGCAATGATCACATTCCAGGCATGAAGATCTTGGCCCTGAAGCTGAGGACTAACCCCTTTAAAAATCCTGCTGGAGTCCTCTGCCCAGGTTAGACCAACACCTTCTTCAGTGGTGCTTGGTTAGAGCTGCAGCTGAAGGTTGCTAATAACAAAATGGTCAAGACAAATTGGTGCAATTTACAGCAGCTCATGGATCAAAAGAGCAAAGTGGTGGCAGACAGCCAACTCCCAGCCAATCCTGCACTGTCCAACCCTGCCGCAGCTCCCCTGAGGGTACAGCTCCTTGGGGCATTACAAAGCTGAAGGGGTAAAACACACTGGGCTGGTAATCCTCACAAGACAGAGATCTTCCAAGAGATCAGCCTTTCCCCCGGGACACAGGCCAGACACAATCTGTTTAAATTATTTTAGAAGCCAACTACTGCAATCCTGGCCTGCAGTCAGCTGATACAGAGAGAGTTAAAAAAGGAGTCCTGAACACCCAGGAGGAGCCAGACTAACTCCGTGAAATCGGTTTACTGTGATTAACCCTATTCCCCAGACTGAGACAGAAATTAAGACTAGCAAACAAAAGCCCTGATCTGCAGTGCATACTGCTCTCCAAAGAGCTCTGGCATGGTATTGTGTCTTGTGAGCTCCACAGTAAGAAATGGCTACCAGATGTTGTAGAGATGCACAAACTCTCAGCGTGGAAGCCTGTCCTAGCATCATGGAACACTGCAAGGCCTGGTAAGCTCTTCTACTCCATTTACATAAATATGCAAAGATTTACTTTCTTTTACAGCATCAACCTGTTTATGACTAAATCACGGTCTTACCATTTTTAAGTGAGGACTTAGTAATTTCTATTTTATTGGACATTCCAGCCTCAGATCATGCTGTGTTTCCACATTGCTGTGATGCAGCAAGGTATAAATATTCACATAGATAAGAAACTGCACCGTAGCAAGGTTTTGTTTAGATACCATCTAAATCTCCATCTCTTCCAGCTTACTCATAAACCTAAGCAATGTCTAGCAGAGATGGGATTAATCCAATACCCCACCTCATCTTCCGAGCCTGAAATCTTACCCCAAGTCTCCACCGTGAATCCCCAAAAACAAAAAAGACCTGGATGGGATAGTTACATCCAGAAAGGAACAGCCAGAGGAGAAAAGCTGAGGAAGAAAGCTGCTGTGTATGGCTGGCAGGAATCCCACACCACAATACACTCCATAGCTGCTGGCTCAGAGTTGCCACCTGTAAACCAGGAGCCCTGGGACACAGCTGAACAACTAGAGCAGACATTAACTGTACAGTAAAGACTCTTAAACCAGGAATAAATAGCTCTGCCTCCTCTGGGATGTCACTTCACAGCTCTGCAAGTATCACAGAGGCTGCACGGTTCTACAGCAAGAACAGAGCAGCCCAGCTTTTTGTGAGAGCCACCTGGGGTAGGCACGTGGTTTAGAGCTAGATCTAAGTTTGCAATTCAGATCCAACTCTGAAGCCCTGCATTACAATTATCTCCACAGGCACTAACTGAGACTTCTTTCAGGAAATCTACACATGCAGAAAAGTAATGAAACCCATAGCAAGAGCCACTCCTGAAAGACCAGAAATCTATTGTTTTTAGACCAAAGAGAGATGTTAATTCAATTCAAGATTCAAGGAATGCCATAGTAGGAGGAGCCTTGACAATATGGAAGTACCTCAAGGGGTTGATCCTTCTTTTTGGGCCTTTTGTTCATGGATGCACAATCCAGTGACTCGTTCTCTTCATCATCTGAGAACACAGAGCCTTTTGTTTCATAGTTTGCCTCAGGTGGCTTTTCATATTTATTGTCCACACCTATTTAACACAGCCATTTACAATCTAAATGTGAAGACAAAAGATGAGGAAATCAGTGATGGTTTGATTCATACACCTCCAAATGCCACCTCACTGCAAACCATGCACCTTCTAGAGATTAGCAGACAGAAGGTTCACGCATCACACTCTAGTAACCACAGCTGTGGGGTTAGAAATCAAAAGGCTCGTGCTTATGAAGCTATTATAGGCTCTATTTGGATTATTTTACATAGAATTCAGACTAAATTCAGGTGTTCTGGAGGTTGACTATTGAAAGAGGTGCTGGGGTTATTTTGTTTGGCTCAGGAATAAATAAAATAGCTGATTTCTTGAATCACTGATTCCATCCATCGTTCCTGCGTCTACTGATTTCAGAAGGACTGTCCTCTAGAAGACACCAAATGAATGTTGAAGCCTTCTAGACAGTAGAGACAGATTCCTGGGATGCAGAAATATGAAGCACAGCAGCACTAACTGACTTAAAGCTGAAAGAGCTCAAGCCAAGAACCACAATCTAAGATTCACTGATATTAACCAGAAGCTTCAACAGGTATTGAATGGATCCTCAGCAGTGGGTGTGCTGCTGTGAGACCAGAGCAGGGAAAAGAGACTCTTCTCCTTCACTCTGGAACAAATCTTATGGAGTGTTAACTCCAGTGATGGATCTGATGGCAGATCAAGGGGTATCAGATGGTCGAGCATTTCTTTGGACCATGACATTTTAACCACTCTCTTTGGAAGGGCCAGGTCTGAGACTAAGGTTGGATCCAGCTGTACCCAGGCTCCTCTCTGAGAAGTTCAGAAAATCTGAATCTCCCTGGGTTGCCCTACCCAGCTTGTGACAGACAATTAGGGTTCTTCATTCTGAAACATGTCAGGAGTGGAAGTGTTTACTGTTTAGATGGCATTACCTGCAATTATTTGCCCTATACTTAGCCTGTGGTATTAACATACATAGAAATAATGTTCTGTGCTACTTCTCTCAGCCTGACTGTAAGACTCTGCTGGACCAAAGACTAAAGTCAAAGAGGATTCTTAAACATCTAATACTGATTAATCCATTTAGATCCTTAAAGCACAAGAGAACTGAATTCTCCAGTTCTTTCAGGTGGGTAAGGGAGAGTGATTTGGCCACAACAACCCCACAAGTCAGGAGCAGGTCACTGGGGCTCCCTCCAGTGCCAAACCCAGGTCAGCAGCTGAACACTCTCAGCCCCTGCATTCAAGCCCACAGGATGTGGCTGTTGCCTGAGAGCACAGTGCAGAGCATCCTCTGGCCACTGACCCCGTGTTTCTACCCCTTTATCACAATTTGCATGGGCAGGCTGGAAGACACCAGCACAGGTTTCCAGGAAAAGCTGGAAGTTGACTTTTTCCCAGCTGTGCTGAAAATGCTGATAGTCATGTTGCAGGGATACAGGGCCAGGGATAATGCTGAATTCTGTTTTTTAAAAGGGGCCCAGCTTAGGCCATTTGATGTGGAAGCTGGTCCTTGTCACCTCTCTAAGCCAACAAAAAACTGAGTCAAGTTTTGTTTATATGCTTTTTGTTCAGAGTTTGAGCATAACCCTGAACCAAGCATGCCCAAATCTACAGCCTGGAGGCCAAGTACTGCCCCAACATCAAGTCATCTGACTGTCCCCACCTCCCCTGTTACCCAGAGGTCCAACAGATGTGGACTGCAGTTTGGTCTTTAGGGAGCTTTTTTCCAGACTGTAAAACTGGGACTTCTTTAAACTGGCTCACTGAGGTTTGCACAGTGGCCCAACAATACACCTCCAGCCATGTGCTGCTGCAAGGAGACAAGGGCTTTCCCCAGGAACATAAGGACTTTGAATGGGACAGGACAGAGGGGAGCTGGGGGACACTGGCTGCTGAAGCTGAGAGCTTACAGGATAAGGCTAAACCTACTCTGCTCCCCTTCTCCTACAGCCAGCCACTCCACTGCAGAAGGAGATAGAAGGAACTGTCAGACTTTATAATGACCCCATGAATCCCATGCTTTTCCAGTGTGCATTACTTTCTCTATTATTTTTCTCTTTCTTGAATTAGGTGCTGGGTGACGAAGTTACCCAGGCAGCTCTGCCACCTGCATCACCCATCTCCGTAACAGGCACAGCAGAGGCACAGCCTCCTTGCAGGCTCCTCCACTTTCCCCCTCAGCCTGAGCATCACACCCACATCCTGAAGCTGCTTCCATTAAAACCAAGTGGAGAACTCAGCATCTAAGCTGGCACCTGGTGCTTTGCCCCCTGCTGCAAAGAGGTCTGTGAGGTCTACTGTAAGCTGGGCTGAGGCCATCTTCTCCCCTGCTACATCTCATGAATGTTGGTAGGTAGAGTTAAAGATTCACAAACTAAGTGGCCATGACAATCTCTGTTTTGGAAACCATAACAATGAGAATGGAGGGTTCCCATGGCTGGATGCCCAAGAACCTCTTTCACTGTTCCCTATTGTTCAGAAGCAGGATCTGTAACAGAGAAAAAAATCCAGCAAAATGGGGTAAGAACTTTGTGGAAGCTGATAGGATGAAGCTATAACCTCTAGTTACCTTAGATAATTTTAATGCTAAAAACCCACCCCCCTTTGGGAATAATAAGCATGCTAGTCAAGTAACCTCCTTGAATGTTTTAAACATGAATGAATCATTATTGACCAATCATATATTTTGTTGTGATTTTCCCTTTGTTACTATTTCTTATATTCGACCCTGCTTGCCTCCCCAAAATGTGGTGGCTGATGCCAAATGCAGACTGGAAATAAGACAAATATCTTGCCTCAGAGTGTTGATCAGCTCTTTGCACACTGAGTGAAGAATGCAGATTTGGAGTAACATTTTGGAGACCCAGTTGGGATAGTCATAAAAGATTTGCATGGATCATCTTGCCATCCCTGACAGTGGAGAACTGGACTGGGGAGGACTCCAGCATGCACTGACCTGTTAATCCAAGACTCCTCCAAATCCCCTCTGGTGTCAGGCAACAAGCCCAACTCCAAGCTGCAACACCCAAGAGAGAACACAAATTTGGGACAAGATCAATGTGAATGAGGTACCAAAAAGCAGCCCAATGAGAACCAGTT